CCCTTATATATTTTTTAATAAATAAATAAACAATAATAAAAATATATATATATATATAAATATATTTTTTTTTTTTTAGTCTTAAATTTCATTCAGTTTTGTATTAAAAATGTCTTAAAAGGTCTTAAATTTGATTTGATCTGCAGATACCCTGTTCAGAGTAACAACAACAACATTTGTATTTGCTACAGTAGGACTCCATGCAAGAAGCTTGATATAGTCCTTTGCAGTTTTATTACAGGCCACAGTGAAATGGCAATCATGACATATTTTCAAACAGTTGTGCTGCCCTATTTGATCCAAGAGTAAAGTCTGGATAAAACTGTGTATTAAGTGGTTCGTAACATGGTGTAGTCAGGCAAATTTGCTTTACGACCTTGTTTCAAAGTCCATCAAACTCCACAAGCTGAACCACTGATAGCTCATCTGAGTCTAAACATCTTGTATTGTATGCATGGCTAATGAATACATGCTCTGATTTTTTAACGGGTGCCAAACTGAGCTCTGTGGTGGTTAGCCACGCTACCGTAAAGTTTTTTTTTTTTTGTCTTTTGTTTTTTTGTACTTTAGCCACTCTGTGCTTGTAAATTACTTTAGAAAACAGGGTCCAATAAATCATTGCTAATGTAATAAACACACACAGGGAAGCAAGTCCTTTTGCTGTGTCACAACAATCTGTCGTGGTAAATCTTTGAACCCACCCAGTGGTGACTGTGTACACCCTGAAGTGGACTCTGAAGAAGGGATGATCTATGTCAAGCTGCATGATCATAAAATCATGTCACTTTATTATCCTGTTGAAAACATGTCATTATTTTCTGTCGAGCAGGTGTGGTGTGAGATTTTGTGACTGATTGTCAGTTTTTGTGAAACTTAAACTTGGTGATTTCAACGTGTTTCTAAATAATGAATATTATTTTCTCTACTGTCAGGATAAAGTTTTAGCGTAACAGACTTCAAAAATGTTTGCTGGTAAAAAAAAACAAAAAAAAAACAAATAAATTGGGACCAGCTTTAAGAGCTTTTCTCTTTCTGGTTAATAAAATATACAAATACAGTAGTATGTCTCTGAGAC